ATATTATATATTGTATATTATATATTATATTATATAATTGTATATTGTATTACATATATATATATATATATATGTATATCACATTATTGCATCTGTATGCAGCATTGTTGTATATATTTCTTCTTCATTGTATATGTTTTCTAAATTTAATATTATTTATTGTATACTATTATTATATTGTATTTGGTTTTATTAAAATCTTTTCTCGACAAACAATGTATTTTATTTCACATCATTCTTTAAATCCTCTTTCCATTGAAAGAAAGAAAATGATTAAAAACAACCAATTTATTTTCTATAACTTACGCACACATTTATCTGCTTACATTATCAAAATTTATTACATACCAAAATTCATTCGCTTCTCCATTGTTTAGTAGTGTGGTTATTACTGAGTAACCTTTTAGAAGCTACTTACATCACATAATGTATTTATTATGTTTGTTTCCAATATTTCTCTTAGTATTCAATGCTTTCTCGAAACAGTAAGATAGAAATTACATTTATATATCTCTGGCATTCGAATTTTGAGACAGTGTTAACTGTACTATTGTTACAAATTGTTAATTGTTACAAAGTACTGTAATTTCAACAGGCACATAATTTGTATCTATATTTTTATCTATATCATAAACTCTCATCTGTCCACGCACTACATTAAACAAAAGGTAATACTTCTTAACGCCCAATTGAAACTGAAATTACTCTATTCAACTCTTTTAAATACCTTCTGCAAATTCTTATTTTTATTGTCGTTTTTACAAAACAATACGATGATAAAGCTTGATCCGTCGGGTAAAAAATTTTTAACGCGACTTTGTAACGTTACAGCTGACTCACAAAAAATCGCTGATAATTTTTGTTAATTTTATTTTTCAACAAATTCTTTTTTCTTTAGTTTGAGTGGTTGTTGATCGTTGTGCGATTTTCTTCGACCAAATTATCAAGTCTGCAAGAAACTTTGATTTGATTAATGATTTTTATTGGATCTTTCTTTGCACTTTACACTATACTGAGCTAAAGAAATAACATAAAATATGGAATTTTTTAAGTGTTTTCGCAATTTGATTTTTTGTTAAAAAAACAAGGCTAAGAAAAAAACAATAATTCGAAAGTCTAACTTTTAGCTTTTAAACGGTTTTCTGTGCTGTATAATAATATTTTCACGAATAAAAGCGATCAAGAAGACAATGTAACGATTCTTTATTTAGTTTTTGAATATTCAGACAAAAAAATCGCACAGCGATCAGCAAACATTTAAATTAAAAAAAAACAATTCCGCTATAAATTTCAAAATGCTTTATTCTGAATTAAAATACAATGATTTATCACGGAGTTACAATGCTTTAAAATTGCCTTTTATAAGTAAATTTTTAGATTGTTTAATTGTTGCGTGTAGTGTACTTAACATTTCGGCCAATGTTAATGCAAAATTTACATTTTTAGCATTAATTTATTATTAATTTTTTACATATTTCATTAAAAAATTAATTCTTTGAGAAAATGTCTAAAAGAAGAATACAATATTTGCAAGTATTTCTTGATAAATTTGATGAAAACGCTCTAATAATAATAGAAATATTATTTTTGTCTTATAGGGTACTGTCGAGTCAATTATGATTTCGATTACCGACGTAAACTTACCTATTGGTTGTACAACAATTATATCAATATTCATGTTCTTAATTGAGCTCAAATCATCGATGACGCGTTTTATTTCTTGATGCAAGGACAACTCAATTTCACCATGTTTTAAAATACTACAAGATTTCTAATTGAAGATACGGACTATGTAGTATGGTATCCTATGATTAAAGCTGTTGAATACGTGACGTGTATCTGGCCAATTCAAACTATTTTATCTAAAAGGGTAAATTATAATAAGAGTAAATTTCTACAATGTAGAATAATGTATAATATTAAAGCACTGTATATAAAAGAAGTTAAATAAATATGTATATGTGCAAATATACTTATATTATTTAATTAATTATTTATTTAATAAATTATTCAATCCTGTTCAGTTACAGTTAATGTTCTATAGTCTATTCCTAACTTGAGGAGTCGAACTAAATATTGTTACGTAACAACAAATACAACCCTAAAAGAAAGATTATTCACAATTAGATACATAAATCGTAGATATTTGTCCGTTTTTTAATGTTTATAAATTTTTTATGTGAAATCACCACGTTAAATCACCACGATTATATTTAGTGAAAATATGTGCCTGTAAACTGTAACGTGAAGCTCAAGTATGAAACTTATGCTAGCTTTTTAATTACCGTGATTTCTTTAGAGTCGATGGTTGGTGTGTTACTTCCATATTACTTCTTAATATTGTACTGTTTCTTTTCATCTTAAAATACAATGTATATGCTATGGAATAAAATGCGCAGAATTCCACTCGCTAACGCAACACTAAATGCGAAGCTCAAAACTTTCTGTTGTGACGCAACAAAATTCAAACTCGGGCCATCACTTTAAGTATTCCAAAATTCACGTATGCGTATTACTATGTATAGCATAAAGAAATTGATGGCTATTAATTACTGAATGATCTCACGCATTATGTCTCGTATGTTCTCAGCTTTTACCTATATATCGAATTTTTCTTTACTAAGTACTGTATTATGTATCATTCCTAAAAAAAGGCATTAGTTGCGATATTGTATAAAGTGCGATCGCATAGCATAATACAACAATTTTTGTGATGGAGTAAATAGGTACTTATAATTTCAATAAATTATAGATTATTTAAATTACACAATGTATTTTTCATTTTTATTCGTATCGGCTTTATGTTACTTTTTATTAATTAAATATTATGTAGTTGTAAATTATATCGAATATATGATTTGATAAATGAAATGTACAAAAATGAGCTCACGAGGCAAAAAAGTAGTGTTTGTACTTGAGTAAGTATAATAACTTTACCTCTTCGGGAAGGACGACAAAGAGAGTAAAAGTAGTCGATACGTACAATCGGGTATATACTTTATTGGTCCAGCTGTTTAACTACGTAGAACTATTTATAAAATCTTACAAAATGCTCAACGTGTTGCAATAGGGAAACGTTACTTAAGTATATTTACAAAGCAACGGAGTTACACGATTTCTAAGAGTCGATTGACAACAAGCTGTTATACATTAATATGATTATCGCAGGTTTCACGAACATCTCGATTACGATTTCGTGATACTTCAGATTTAAGATATTTTCTTCGTAAACGCAACGTGATTGTGCAAATATCCCCAAGCTCGGATTTTGGTCTAATTAGAAAGACTTTACTACAAATTTTTAATTAAACAATTCGTATATAAAGTTTTAAAAAATGTTAAATGCCATGCAACATTGTGAGGCACCTTTCGCGTATGTATCTATTTTGTAGATATGCACGATCAATTTTTAAAATTATTATGACAATTGTAATTTGTGTGATATAACAATCGATATTTGTACCAATAAATAAAGTGAGATAATCAGATTTCGATTTCTACATACATTCGTTCGATTACTGCACGATGTAGTATTAATAAAAGTAATGTAAAATACAGAAGCGTTTTGTATAAAAATTTTATGCTTGCAAATGTCATAAAGGACTTAAAAATAATCGTAAATAGTTTTAAATTTATGAATTTGTTACTGTCAAAATTAGTAATTTCATTAAATTGGATAATAATAATTTCAATAAAATACAATTCTTAAATTTTAACCAGCTAGCAATCCTTTAATTTTTTATCGATTCCATTACACAAAAGTATTTACGCATGTAAAAATATGAAAAGTTTCTAAATTATTTCTGTTTTAATTTTTTTCATGAAATTCACAAACATTAACAAAAACATTAATGTATGCTTCATAATTATACAATAGGAAAAAACCAGCAACAAAATATTAAAAAATAAAATGGGTACAAAGAATGAGAATTTTAAAAATCGTAATATGTAACAAAAGGAATTCGTAGTCTCTGCCAAAATTGTTTACTGTAAAAGGTAAATTATTGTATAAACTCGATAAAAATATTGATTTCACGATTGCGAGAAACAAACTAGAAAAATTGTGCTATTGTTTATGAACATTCCGATACAAACACGAAGACTTTCAATCTCATCATCGATAAGTTTCATAAAGTTACTTATGTAATTTGTCCATCGCGTGCATTCAATCATTAAAAATTGAGACTCGATTATATCCTATAAAAATTGGCAGTATACAAACAATACGTCACATCAAAAGTTAATATGTATATGTGTGTGTGTGTGTGTGTATATATATATATATAAACATATTATATATATATATTAAAAAAGGTTTCGTAACGAATGTTAAAATTGGTGACGTTGACATTGATCCTTATACATTGATTCAAAGAAATCGGATATCTTTAACGCTATCATAAGAGAGAGACTTTGTTATAAACTACATTTATATTCTAACAAATTCGCCGCCTAAAATGCGTCGATAATACAATAAAAACAGTTTCACTGCTTTCAACGCAGAAGTACACGCATAACACAACTAGATTGCGTTTGCATGTATGGAGCTCATACTGTGAAATCTTTATTCGCAAATATTATTTTTATGCACTCGGTGTAGCAATGTGATAAAATTTTTAATATAAAGTGCAAAGTTTTTTAGATGTGAAGAAATGAAAACGTAAGTCTGATTTTTTTTTTCATCTATTGTTAAATAATATCCATAAAATGTGATTGAAATTCTAGCTCCATATATTGTGCACTCCTGCTCTAACAGCTTTAACTTCTTAAAAATGATTGACATCATTTAAAAAAATAGTCGACTTGAGAGAAAAATCGTATTTGATATATACTCACAAATAAAAACATATAAGAAATGTATAAACTAAAGAATGTATATTTAGACTCTGACATTTTTCAAACAAAATGTTACATAAATTAAAAATGATTTATTTCACAAATCGAAAATTGTTGCACTTCTCAAAAATTAAATCTATACGATTGTTGCGTATTAATTTAATTAACTTTTATCATGATAAAATTCTTAATAATTGTTCAATTAAATTATTCTGACAGCGAATATAAAATTTAACTGTCGTTGCCAGTAGATACGATATTTCCGACTATCGTATCGGAAAACGTGATAAAATTCAATTACATTCAAGGTTTATATATGTCATTATGTATATATATAATCTATATAATCTATATTACTACTTTCTTACACAGTCGGCAAATACTTTTGCGATACTTTCTACGTTTATCGATTAATCAACTGCGTAAGGAAACGTCATGATGGCTCGCATCGTGCATAACGATTAATTTCGGCATATAGCAAAGTACTTTATATGAGAAAGTAGGAATAATTAAGTTACCGCTATGTTCGTCGCTCACACTTCATTAGATACCTAGAGCACTTAATATTCAGGTACTAATTATGTTATAGTGAAGTGACTCTCGATTATATTTAGCCTTACTCGCTGATAGGAATAGAGTCTTCATGAACGATGCTTCATAAACATTTTTAGCATATAAATTGAACACAGAATAAGAAGCACGGCTGTTCAACATATTTTAATTCTGAAAGAAAGTCAAGAGCCAAAAGGAGTCAAAAAATGCGTAGACAGAATATAAAAGAACTCTCAACAGTTGCAAGATCAACGCCTAACTGAAAAATGTGACATTTTTATAAAATGTATTTATTGATACTTTCTAATTCTATTATTTGCAGGGATCTCTTGCAGGTATTTAAGCGGTCTCCTCGGGACCGTTTTACTCCCTCGAAAAAACGTCCGCGATGTTTCATATCTTTATTAATATTTAACGATTCCTGCGGCGGCGTTTGCGGAGACCAGCTCCGTGCGCTATACATAAATTTCCATCTATCGAGAAATGTAACGAAGAGTGCAGTTTTGATCACTTAATTTATGTCTATATATAAACGCTATGTCGCATGAATTTTATATGATAGGAAAGATAGCGATCCCGTTTCTCCGGATTGCTGTTATCTGCTATCCCGAGACGCTATTACCGGCTAATCACAATGTCAAGAGCAAAAATGGAGATAAATAGGTATAAGCTGTCGATTTAGTTCAAATTAGTTCCACTGTGAACCATGACTCTTCTTTCCTCGTCGCATTCTCTCGCTCAATACACGTCTAGCCGGCGGATAGTTACTTTTCCTGGCAGTAGTACGTCAAACTATCGTATCAACACGGATAAATACTTTTCTAATGCGCGTAATACATTTAATTTGATCTAGATTTCGATATAGACTAATATAAACTTTATCTATATATACTAATCCAATTTAGTGATCGATCGTGCTTAGCGACTAGTAGGAAAAGAACGTGGAAATGTTTCTAAAGAGCTTTAACTATTATTCTTCCTTGATTTACGACCGCATAACTGTCTTTCTTACGCGCGTGCAATGCGTGTAATTATTTCTCTTTTCATGGCCACTATTTTACTTTCTGCTTGTGTTCGCAACTGCATGCTAGCTTTTACGCTAATGGTCCCCAACCTTTTTCAAGAGCAACCCTAGATTTTCTGGAAAATTACGCTTATACACCAAACGGGAAGAATAAAAGAAAGGCAAATTGCGAACTGGTAATAATCCAACACGATAGTAACGTTAATTATGAAACGAAATAATATACTGTTTACTTTCGCGCAATTTTTCAAGCGTAAATTTTGCTATTTTTCAAGAAAATAAGAAAGTGAAAGATTTTATAAAAACTTTCTAAAAATTCTATACAATTCTGTAATTAACATAATTGTTAATCTATGTTTCAATGAAATGTGATTTTAAAACATTCTTTGTTATCGCACAAAAGCGTTGTTAAAATCAAATATAACACGCTTAATCCAAATTAAAATGCTCGTCGGACTTTACTTTTAGGTTTTCTTAGTTTAATATCTGGGGGACATTGTGTGCCAAGGTTGGATATCATCGTTTTACACGCTGGTGGTGATCTGTTCTATGACGGTGATGTCGCGGTGACGCCGCGGCCGGGTCCGATACGGATCCTGATGGCTGAGACCCTCAGGCACGCTTTTGCTGGGCCTCAACGGCGCGTGAAAGTGCGGATGATAGTAGTGTTCGGTGTCGTGTACACGCTCGACAAAGTCCCGCTCGTGCATGTTGTCTTCGACGTCCAACGGCACGTGCAGGGACCGCGATTTCGGCAGCCGAGGCCGCGGCGGTGGCGGGCACACGCACGGCGGCGGGGGTGGCATGACGCCGAAGCTCGAGAGTCGTGGCCCCGGCAGAATTGGCGACGTCGGTTGCCGTCCCCAACCGACCAGGAAGAGCAACGCCGCGCCGCACAAGGAACTCAGGGTGCACGCGTAGTAGCCAACTCGCGGGCTGTTCGCGTTCATATAACCTGATGGAGAGCGATATTAAAGCTCATCATAATTTGTTAAAGCTCAGGTTTTCATGCACAAAGTGGCAATATTACGGTGATATGAAGCCGTGTGAGTAAAGAAAAGAAAAATTTAGGACCACAAAAGAATTTTTTTATTCCTACACGTGTACAATGTACACGTTGTCTGGCTGCTTTATTATTCTAAGGGAAAAAGAAAAGAACAACGAACGGATAAATACTCCACTCCGTAAAAAAATAGAGAACACTTTTCAGATGCACAAGATTGAGTAATTTTTACACTGTTGAATTTCAGCAACAAATTATCGTAGACAAAAAATTTTAAAAACATTTTAAAGCTTGAAATTTGTATTTTCTCGTGCTTCAGACCGCTGTTTTGAAAATTGTTTTTTATCTTTATACTTTAAAAATTAAAAAAAAAACACATTGTTTTGTTTTTAACATTACGTACGTTCAATATTTTGCAGCTCAATAATAAAATTTTTCTCGCAAAATTTTTTACAAGTAAATAAAAGCTACAACATTTCACCTGCAAAATGCGTTTTTTTTTAATTTTGCTATATATACTTTTGAGTTTCACGACTTTGAAACTAAACCTGTAATTTTTGCGCTAATGCTATTGCCGATGGCAAACATTATTCTTCAGAAAATGTGTTGGTTTGTAATTCAAACGAAAAGAATTGTAACAAAATGTAAAGAAACGCGTATGTAGATAAAATGTTGTACTTTTTGATACTTGTCACTTTTTTCAAGAAAAATTTTTTTATCGAGTTGTAAAGTGTAAAAAGTACGTGGTTTTTATAACTTAGAAGTGCAAAGATAAAAAATTTTTAGAAAACAATCTAAGCACATAAAAGTATAAGTTTTAAGTTTTAACACGTTTTTTTTTCATTTTTTGTCGAAAATAATTTTTCGCTGAGTTACAGTACTTTGAAAATTGCTCAATTTTAAGCATCCGAATGTCTCGCGGCAGAAAAGTGCGGTCGACTGGTCATTAATACGCATGATGCCTAATTTTGTGTGTCTGAAAAGTGACACTTTTTGTAGTGTATATTTCAATAGATTCACGATTGATTAATTAAATTTAAATTTTCTAATTGATGTAATTTAATTTTATGCATTTTCAAATCTTAAATAATTTTTTCTAAAATTTTCGAAAGAGTATGCAATATTAAGAGCAATGGAAGTCGCTAAAATTCCGGTGACTAAATTAAGCTCTTTAAAGAGACGAAAATTTTACAGTTTCTACTAATGTAGAAACGCTTGAGTTTTGTGAATACGTGTGACAGTTGTCATGCTTGCTTGAATATTCTCTCAGCAACGCGGACAGCTCAACGTATTTTCCAGGCTACGTACATTATTATTAAGGACACCGGCATTAAATTCATACACAGGAACCATAAGACTATTAGTAGGAGCGGATTTAGCTTGCAAGAGACCGGATTTTGCCCACGTTGGTCCTTTAAAGCCTTAATGCTGTCGCGGGTCTTTGAACGTACGAAGAATTAATATGTTTAAAAGAAGTACTCATACAGTTTATAATAAATGAGTTGCGACGAAATATCATGTAAAACGCGTGTTTTTGGCTCTTCTGGTTACTTCATGTGATATTTATCATCAATTAAATGCAAAAATTGTTTTATGTTGTCAGTTGAAATAATAAAAGTATAATTTCTTGGCGATGATAATTTCTTAACTTTTTTTCAATATTTATTTCAAAAATTTAAACATGTATACGTTTACATTGAGAAAAATAAGAAAATTGTCATTTTAACACGATTTGTCATGATTAGGGTTTTTTAGCCCCAAGTTTTTTTAGCCAAGAGCCACATTAAAATTTTTGTAATGTAAAAGGCCAGAAAAATTTTATTTTTGAAAATCATGTAAATTGTAAAGGAATCTTAAAAGTAAAAGTATTCTGTGTATTCTGTGTCAAAATTACTAGACCTTTAATTATGGTTCTGGTCTAGTTGAATATTGAATAATTAGTTTAATAGAGAGGAGGATAAAAAAATAAAATTTTGCCTCAATGTGTGCAAAATTTCTTGGCGGATCGAACAAAATCTTCACGGGGATCGCAAGTTAGAGACCTCTAGTCATGATAATTTTCTAAGAAATGTGGGAAACTCAAAACTTCTTGGCAACGTCGAAAATTCCGTACTCCTTACATACCTGTAAGAGGAACTCCGAGAAGAATGGGCAGAGCTTCCGCGGCTTGTACCAAAGCCCACGATCTAGCGAAGTGTCTTGCTCGCAGCCTTTCCAGGGCTAACATCTTGAGGGAGTAGAGTGCACCGCCGAGCGAAGCGCCGTAAAGCCCGGAGGCCAGTACAAGTCCGTGATAACCTTGCACGCTACCAAGCGCCACTTGTGCCACAGCTTTAAGCAAAGAAGAAACCTAATTCAAATCAGTAATCCTTGATCTTTGGTTCAGTTACTCAGCTACTACTGCGTAAAATTGATGTATTACATAATTTTCCATATACCTTCTATAGAATATTTCAGGTTTTCCAGGTTTAAATTCACAAAACAATTTTGCTTTTTCTTTGATAAAATCTGCATAAAAGGCACAAATCATGCTTCAAAATTTTACCTTTAAGATGAATTTTATTTTAAGAGAAGCAAAAATATATGATCTTTTTCTTTTACTCAGAAAAATCAAGATTAAATTTAAAAAAATCTATATTGTTAAGAAATGTAATAAGTGGTCGAAAACGACAATTAATATAAAGCAGGCATTCTGAAAGCACAATGGAACGCACGCTCCGCTATTGTGACAATGGCTGAATGCGAACATTTAACTGTGCGGACTAGTTTGCAGACAACTACGACGACGTGTATAGGAAAATAGCTGTTAACGAAAGTTCGAAGTAACCACAAAATGTACTGACCGACTCCAATGAGCGCTGCTTGGCAGAGATATTGCCTAGACACTAGGCACTGAGCGGAAGGTCTGGCGGTAACTACCCCCCAAGCCGCGCATCCGAGCGCCGCCGCCAGTCCCAGACAGGTCTGCAGGAGTACGAGAGCGCTGGCCTCCAGCCCGTCCTGGTAGCCTTGCAGAGCCTGAAAGTGATGTTTCCCATTAAGGGATTGCGCGAGAAAAACGGTGCCGCACGGGATGGGATCGCTCTGATAATGCGGACAATACCGCTGGTAATGATGCTCGTCTAATATCGATTATCGAAATTGGCTCGATCTATTCCGCGATTAGTCCGAGGAATTGGCGAAATTCGGGAATTCAACGCTCGCCCGCGTCACAAAAGACGTGTCTCTTGTTGATCACTATCTACTCTTCAATTATTAGTACCGTAATATCCTTTTAAAATTAGATTATGCGACGATGTGGAGAATTTGCATTATTAAGTAGATAGTAGAAACGTTGCATGCTATGAGACTGTGCCATAACCAATGCACGTATAATAATTTCTTTAATCTGTATATCAAGGAATTAGAAACTTTTTTATATGTTATACGTAATTGAATGTTTAATTGCGTTATTATTAATTATAATAGAATTTTGCCGGTGCGCCAAAAAGTCAAATAAATAACAAAAATTGTGCCATCGTTGATACACGGTTTCTCTTTTCTATGTGCAATTATAAAAGAATTTTAACAATGCTGCATCAAAGAAAGATTAATAAGCAACAAAATATGTAATAAAAATTCTATATTGATATTCACGTTTACTTTATGTATTTCTATGTTTTTTATGCATTCCATGCATTTTTATGTTACCCTCAGTTTTTATAAATTTGATATATCAATTTAACAGCAAGTAAGATAATACTAAATAAATAAAATTTTCTTCTGTTACGTTAAAATTTAAATAACAAAACATCAAATAAAAATTTATGTATATCCTATTGTTTATACATTCTATATATTGTATTTTTTTTTATGTATTTCACGTATTTCTATGTTATGTTTTTATGTTTCTCTGTACATCCCATGTTGATTTAACAGCGGTAAGATAATACGAAATAGAATTTACTATTGCTACAGCAAAAGCCCTTGGAAGTAGCAATCGCCAGTGTTTCCCAAAGAATCTGCTGCTAAAGAAATGGCCTTTGCTTCTCAATCACTAATGTAAGTGTACTTACGATATAGAAGGCAGGGGTGTAGAGACCAAAACCGGCAGCGCCGGCAGCCAGCATGAGCATCCTTACGGGACGCGATCCCAAAGGACTCAGATCGACCAGCGGCTGCCTCGGTACCTTGGACGCGGATTTCTTCTCTTTGACTTTGCTGCGCTGATTCTTTAGATGCAGTATGGCTCGTCGTTGGGGGTGGTACAGCGAGGCACTCCGGTAGATCAGTCCCAAGAAGAAGGCCAACGAGAGCGCTCCCGTTACCGATTGCAATCCCAGCCGCCAGCCTAGCTTCCTGAAGGAACAGCGCCGTTATAGTCATCACATAGAAATTGTCGAATCAGCTGACGCGATTCTTACGTGCCTGCCGAGCTCTCTCACTTCGTATTATACGTCCAGTACTTACATTCTATATATAGGGTGTCCGGTAACTCACCAACGCTCGTGAGCCGATAGAGCACATTAAACAAAATAGAAAAGTTCTTTACCATTTTGCAATTCTCGCAATAATTATGTAAGTATTAATTAAAAAAGATTGCCGAATAAGCGCGCGACTAGACCGTAGGATGTAAATTGATACTTAAATAATTATTGCGACAATTGCAAAATGGTAAAGAACTTTTCTGTTCTGTTTAATGTGCTTTATCCGCTTACGAGCGGATGGTCCGTGAGTTACCGGACACCCTGTATGTATATTGCGAGTAAAACTACTGCAGTTGCATTTTGCAAGAAAATTTCCCGCACTTTGTGAAACGTTTCTGCATTAGATTCATCCTCTTATTCGCAATTTACCTCTAAATATTGGGAAAATATTTATTTGCTTATTTCAATATTTATTTTTTTATTATATTTATGTAGAACACAACAGAAATTATGTAATATTTTAAAAATTACAGTAATAATAAGTTTTTTGTATGTTTATTAAATATATTTAGCGCAGCATAACGACATTCGTGATAATTAATTTACAGCATAATTAACTACAAGTGCCTAATTCGTTATTATATCATTATAATATCGAATAGAAAAGGGATAATCTTATCGAAAAATTAATTTCAAAAATAAAAAATTGTGTAATAAGTTTGAGAAGATAACAAGGAATCAGCGTAGGATTAACTTTAACGACTTCAGATGTTTAAAACTCAAATATTATGCATTATTATCCATACAATTTCTGAGACTTGTAATGAAAGTTGTGCAATAAAATGATGTTTGCTTAACAGTGATTCATGTCACGCGATGTTTCTAAATTATTTCGTTATCCAAGTAATTATTCAAGTATGTATTAAGTTAATCGTTTCTCGTCAAAAGATTTACGGATTTTTTTTCGTAAAAGTCGACTTTAATCAGAGTTACTGATTTTTATTGCAAGCTCGGAATTTTTTTAATTGGGAGTATTAAAAAAATTTGTTCTCGTACAAAAAATGTGTATTAAAGTTAATGAAGATTATTTTAATTAACAAAAATTAGTTTAAAATCTTGTAAATCTGCCTTTAATTTTACTTGAAAAATACGATAAATTCTTTGCATCAATCTAATACAAACATAATTTTGTTCAACAATGTTATATTTAATTAAAAGGAAACGTTTATTTAATATTTCCCATTTTTAGTAGAATTCAACATGGCATTAAATTTGTCAAGTTAATATACTGTAAATGTTTGATATTTCATATTTTTACAATATAATCTAACTTCTGTGCCAATTTTGTTTATTTCAATATTTAGTAAAATTAAATAAAAGAACTATTTTAAAAAATTATGTAAGCGTGTATAAAATAACAGAATATGAAACAACTAAAATATCATAAAGTCGAGGATAAACGATCTCAGGAGAGAAATTTAGAACAGAAAGGCATCAACATTTAATCTTGATTAATCTGCTAGAAAAAATAAACAGATTCTCAATCCATATAATTACGGAATTAGTTCTCGCTTTAATTATTTAAAAATACTGGCGGATGTTCTACTTTAATAAGTCTCCCGTATTTTCCAGATATTAATACAAACATATTATGTTATAATAAATAATTAACAACATACAAAAAAAGATAACCAAGAAAAAGAAAAAAATACATTTTACAATGAATGATAAAAAACTATATCAGAAATTCGTATTTTGATTTAATATTAACATTATATAATAATTAAGTATGTATATTTTGTTGTTGTATTAAACATTATTTTCAATTTTAAATTATTCCATATTTGTTCCAATTATTTTTGATATTTTATTTATCCAATATTTAACATTAATTTATATTTATACATAAAAATTTATTTAAATATATTTAAATTTATTTATTTATTAATTTATTTTATTTATTTATTATCTCGAGTAACGTAAGTTTTTGATATGTTTGTTATTCCTCTATTTAACTCTTTTTTTACATAAAAATTTTCTAGTATTTTATTATTTTAACGGTATAATATCTTTTATAGTAAAGCTTAAGAATTCATTTTTCGATGAGGAAACCGCTCCTTTTACTTGTAGCAATGTATAAACATTTATATCAATAAATTTATAATTTAATACAAATTGACTACATCCGAAAAAATATTTAATTTCTATTTTGATATAGTAAACATAATTCTAAAAATAATATATGTTTTAAAAGTATAATTTTCCACACATTTCCTGTAACAATAATTAAAAACAACGTACAGATTACTTTCGATATTCGATGCACAATTTTATCCAATTGGATATCAACGGTCAATAATATTTCCATTGTTTAGTAGCATATGTTACCGTGTGACCTCTTAGAAACTATTTACATCACATAATGAATTTATTATGTTAGCTGCCAATATTCATCTTAGTATTCGGTGATTTCTCGAAACAGTAAGATAGCAATTAAATTTATATTCCTCTGGCATTCAAAGACGATGTTAACTGTATTATTGTTACAAATTGTTAATTGTTACAAAATACTGTAATTTCAACAGGTACATAATTTTAATCTATATAGGTGAGTTGTCAAAAAAAAATATTCTCATTAAAAACATATAAATAATTTCTAAAGCACAACAAATACAAATTTATGTTCTTAAAAACATATTCTTCAATGCTGAAAAACGTTCAAATATTCTTTTAAATTTTATCTTTCTCGATTTATACTACGTGAACTGAGATAAACGCAAAAATTATCTATCGTCTGTTTAAATGTAAAATTTTTTAATAACATTTATATCACACGTTTAAAATTAATTATTTTGATATTTGTGAAATTTATTGAAAAGATCAATTGTGTTTCTTGAGACCAAATTAACATATTGCAATAAAAAGTTATTCAATTATCTGTAATATTGTAAGAACGTAATTTTTAGTAGAAATAAAAATTGGTTTCTTTTACTTATTGCCAAATAGCACATGTTCGTTTCATAAACATTTCCTCAACGTACGTGAATATATTGGATATATTTAGAAAACGTATATGAAACAAACATGTGCTCACTGAGTTGCATTTTGAGTAATATATGTATAAATTTTATACATATTTAATATTTTTAGTTTTATATTTAACAAAAAATTTTGAACAAATTATGTTGCTCGCTCACATAAGATTCTAGATAACCTCTCGTATTTAGAACTTCGTTTCTTTTTTCACTATCACAAATAATTCTCTTTCTTTCTTCTAACTTTCTTTTAATTTTTCATAAAAATCTTACACCGCTTTAGTACGATTAACTACAATAGTTGTTATATTATATTTATTCTTCTTATATAAAAATTAAATAACATGTGTCGCAAATATATGTGTTTTGTCTAATCAAGAAATTCTTCTCGCAGATGCTTCAAGTGGGAATTAGTATGGCATTTTCACATATCATATTAAACAGATTAATAATTATCATAATAATTTTACTACCTACAGCAAAATTTACGAAAAATGACACTGAACTTAATTACAATGTTTTGAATGGCAATTTTAAACCACTGCATTATGGTGTCAAAATAGAATATGACGTATACAGAAATGTCTTTCTTGGAGAGTGCAATATCACCATCCAGATTAATCGCCCAACGGAAAATATAACTATAAACACAAACACTATCTCCATAAAGCAAATTAATCTGTTTGACGACAATGATAATGAGATGTTCAGCATCCAAATGTTTTCATTTGGAATCAATGAATTTAAAGAAATGTACATTTATCTTGATTTTATCCAGTTATCAGGGGATGTTTTATATCCTGATACATATATCTTAAAATTCATATATAGCGGTATGATATTAGATGACGAAAAAGACGCAGACAAAGAAAAGGATAAAATGTAAGTTCAAATAATAAATTTTTAGTAAAATTGTGATTAAATTTTTATATTAATCATACATTTAAAATAAAATAGGTTAAACAAGAAAGGCATTAAAGTAATAAAAGCAGTTGAATTATTTCCATGTTGGAACAAGGCAATATTTAAAACAACCTTTAACATTTCTATCAAGCATCATAAAGACTATAAGTTTTTATCGAGTATGCCGATACGAATACAAGTTGAAAACTTGGATAACACTCTGTGGACTCACTTTGACACATCACCTTTAATGTCTGCTAAACATTTAACAATTGTGAAATCCACATTCACTAATTACTTCGCTTATATTAGAAATGTCAAATTTTGGTATAGAAAAGAAATGATCGACCAGATGCGATTCGCAGAAAACATTGTCCGAGTAGTTATATACTATTTGAAACTAAAAAGTAAAGCAATAATACCAAAAATAGATTACTTTGTAATTGAAAACTTTCAACATAGTAACGAAAAGACGCGAGGATTCATTCTATTAAGGTACTTTTTAATAAAACAAAAATTAAAATCAAATTAAATAAATATATTTTTCTATAATATTATAAAAATAGAAAAAATGCATTTTAATGTTAGTGTGGCTATTAAAAAACAACTCAAACATCACGTCACTTGCATCACGTTCTGATAAAATATTCTTATCTTTATTTTAAACAAAAAATTAAAATAATTATTTTTTATGTCAAATTAGATTTTAATTCAGATTTTATTATTGAAAGCATGAAAAATAACTGCTATTTATGTACAAGTTTTACGTACAAGTAAGACATAAATTTATTTTTTTCACGAATAATATTGATAAAAAAATATCAAAATTTTTATTATTTTGAATGTTATACACATTTTTGCATGTAATATTACTGACGCAAAAATGTCCAAAATATTCTTCTCCTTTTTATCTTAAATAAATTCTATGCAAATGAGTAAGTAAATAGTTATTGCCATGTTATATCATTTACAATATGATATATATTGTTCACCAAAAATATATAAAAATCCAAGTTGTATAAATATAACATTCTTTTCTTGTTACATTCAGATTTAACTTTATTACTGGTTTATCTTTAAACATTTAAATAAATATAATTAAATGTTATTTGTGTCTTCGTAATAACTTATATCTATTACAACGACAATATAGAAATTTATTAAATTGCATATGTATATAAAAAAAATTTAGTTATATTTCTAATACTTAAAAGACTTCAAAACAATTTGCAGGGAAGAAGATATTATTTATAATTATACATTACATTCCGTTCGCAAAATGGAAGTGGCAAACTTAATGGCACGTGAAACGATATCTTATTGGTATGATGACGTGCCTTTGTGGTCAAAAGAAGGATTTATTACGTTTCTTGCAGCACATATTCTGAAGGTTTTTTTATATTTTCACTATTAGTATATTACAACTTTATACTTTAATATAAACGACCAAACGTTAATAGCAGCTGTCAACAGCGCTAAATACGTGTCGCCAAAATTACAAAACTTCTTTTGAAATATATTTACTCGATCATGTCACGCTTTACAGACTCAGTCATATTCCATGATGGACTTATTTTACGTCCAAGAACAACAGGAATCTTTACGTTTCGATACTCTTCCTACAGATTCTCTGCCATCTAGAACATCTCTTCATTATATCAAATGTAAATTTAAGCAAATATAACTAAAAAATTATTACAATTAAAGAAAATATAATTTAAAAATATTGATAATTCCATGTAAATTTGCAAAATTTGTAACAAAGTATAAGAAAACTTAACTGTAAATCGATTAAAATACAACTTATTTATATACAATACTTATTATAAGTATATTTAGAATAAAAATTAATACTATTTTAAAATACTAATTACTATTATGTCAATAGTAATTAATACTATATTAAAAGTCAAAAAAAAAAAAAATACATTAAACTATTTAACAAATATTTTACAATTTGAATCATTACAGCATCTATTATATGGCGCATGTTATATCATATAATATCTGACATGAAGTTTTGGACTAGTCTCAACATGTATAAAAACATACAGTGAGTAATATCTTTTTATATTTTTAAATAATGATAATAATGATAAAATACAAAATGTGAACAGTAAAACAAATGACTTGCTTCAAAATCTACTGTTCAAAAATAGAAACTAACCGTTTTAGATTTATCGGCTACTTTTAGTTACTCTTTATGTAAAGAATTTTAAACAACATATTGAGGAATTATTATTTATAGTAAATGATGTAATTTGATAAGTGATAAGAAAGATTTTTGCAATGTTAATTTTTCAGGTATAATCAGACAAACGCGACAGATACAAAGAATTTATCTACTATCGTATCATTTTGGAACGCTGTGGAAAGTGTTCTAGGTTCAACAAGTAATATACGTAACTTTAATAAAGATGTAATCGATATTTGGTCAATGCAAGGACATTATCCTGTACTGTACGTGACACGAAATTATTCTACTAACTTAGTATCAATCACATATATTAATTCTAAACATATACTATTTCCTAATATGAAACAATATGAATTATACGTGGTATATACGACGAAATCACTTATGAACATCGAGACACATCATTTTTGGCTATCTACACTAACACCGTACCATTATATATCGCGCAATATTCACATTAATGATTGGATCATTCTCAATTTACAACAAACTGGTAAATATTAAACGATATTTTTATTATTCTGCTGACTTTATTTTCTATAATTGATTCTTCATTATTCCATGTTTAATCACTAGATATATGTCATTTATTTAATATATATTAATATATGTACAACTCAATTATATACACTACTTGCAACAATTAAGTAATCAAAAAAAATTGCTAAAAAACCAATCTTCAAATCATTGTAACTTCGCGAAAACCATCGTGTTTTAATTTAAGAAAAAGTGTTTAAAAGCTTGAAACTTCTTCTTTTTACTAATCGTTTCATTGGCAGTGAAGAGCACATACTTAATGTTCGGCAAGAGTTTCTTTCTACCTTAAATGAGGCAGGTTATGTATTTTTGAAAATTCTTTTTCGCGTTATTAAAAGGTCGATTGCGACGTTGGAGTTGACGATTTTGTTTATTACTGATCGGTTATCATCGAGATGATTGCGTTTAACATACTGTGACAGCTTGTATCTTTGTTATTATACAAAAAATAGTAGTATTTTAAAGAAAGTAAAAGTGCAAATTATTATACAACGGAAAAAAATGGCACACGCTTGGGTGACTTAGTTTTTACAATAAAATGAAAGTAATATATATAAAAAAAAATAATGATATTTACAAGCAATTCTTAATAAATTTGATGAAGATGCTCTAATAACAAAAATATTTTTGTACTATAGGGTACTATCGCATTAATTATGATTTGGAAAACTGGAAAAGACTTGCCTGGTATTTGTACAATGAAAATTATAACACGATTCCTGTTCTGAATCGAGCCCAAATCATCGATGACGCGTTTTACTTTTTGACGCAAAAGCAACTCAATATCAACTTGTTTTGGGATATTACAAGCTTTCTATTAAAAGATACGGACTATGTAGCATGGTATCCTATGATTAAAGCTGTTGAATACATGACATGTGTCTGGGAAGTTCAACATAATGCCCTTATAAAAGTAAATTATAATAAGAGTAATTTTTAAAAAAGAATAATGTGTAGTATTAAAACACTGTATAAAAGAAATTAAATAAATATATGTGTAAATATACTTATATCATCTTTTTCAAAAATAATAATAAATTTTTTATTATTTAACAATTTTTTAGGAGGTAATTAAAGAAATGTTCAATAAACTTCTGCAAAATATAGGATACGATGACAAATTTGACGAAAGTGATTTTACTAAATGTTTAAGAGAAGAAGCGGTAAAGTGGGCATGTGTTCTCGGTGAGCCAGAATGCAGAAAAATAGCCACTTCGAAATTAAAAGAAGATCTTCAAACTTCTGAACAAAACAAGTAAGATGTTTTACAACCACGAGATTAATATGAATAAATTTGATGGCATTATTGCCCTATGCCGGATAAATTATTTTAATATTACAAAATATTGTAGTTAAGTATTTGTATAGAATATTTCTTTTTCTCTGGTAATGCAGACTTTCGAAATGGAGGGAATGGATATACTGTAAAGGTTTAATGACAGCAAACCCCCTTACTTGGGACAAAGTGTTGATTAAATGGGAGAGAACATCCGATGATGCATTTTTAGACTACTTAACATGCTTTACAAATCCTGATACTTATCGAATTTATTTGGATATAATAATAAATGAGAGAGTTCATTATAATGTAAAAAACAGTAAAACAAGTGCTAAAAACGTTCTTCTAATTGTTGCAAAACATGCAAGAAATGATGATGTGCTCAAGTATATATTCGACAATATAAGATTGTTCGAATTCAGTATAAACAAGTGATTACATTTTCATTTATTAATATATTTTAGTATTTATGAATATTTGTTATGTTTGTTAAATATATTACTTTACTTTTCTAGGCAAATTGATCACATTGCCATATTAATCGTTATTATTACGCACGAACATTCTGTAGAACAATTCGAAAAGGTATATTTTCCTGGTATATGTATATAACATTCTCATTACTTCGCCTTTTTATGTTGAGCTTATTTATGTTAAAATTGTGACATACGCGATATATCAGAACATATCTCAATGCACTTAATACAGCAAATTATAACGTCTGAAATTGTATATATTGTATATAGTAGAAGAAAAATTTATATTTGTTTATATTGTTTTTTATATCTTCAAATAATCTGTTTTAGATAACTGAATTTGCAAAAGGTCTCTGTGAAAAGCGACTAATTGATGCAGTTAAACAAAAAATAAAGAAACGAAAATTGGAATGTGAAAAACGAGTCACATACTACGAGCGCATCGATATACCTACCTATATAGAAAGAAAGAACTAAGCAAACAATTGAATCCATGAAAGACAATTGTTTTACTTGCTCCTTTATATATGAAATATTTTTGTAATACTGTTTTTATTATTGTATTAAATATTACTTCTCAATTTTAAATTGTTCCATTTTTGATTCACTTGTTTTTAATATTTCATTAATCTAATATTTAACATTAATTTATATTTTTATATATAAATATAATTATTTTATTTATTTATTATATCCAAGTGTAAGTTTTTGGTATGTTTGTTACTCTTCCATTTGGCTCTTCTTTGACATAAAAATTTTATAGTATTTTATTATTTTAACAGTATAATATCTTTTATAATAAAGCTTAATAATTCATTTTTTGATGAGTAACTCTCTTCTTTTATTCGTAACAATGTATAAGAATATATATCAATAAATTTATAATTTAATACAAATTGATTATATCCGAAAAAATATTCAATTTCTATTTTAATATAGTAAACATAAAACTGATATGTGCATTAAAAGTATAATTTTCCACACATTTCCTGTAACAATAGTTAAAAACAACTTACAAATTTACTTTCTATATTCTATGCGCGATTTTATTCGATTAGATATCAACGGTCAATAACGTCTCCATTGTTTAGTAGCATATGTTACCGCGTAACCTCTTAGGAACTATTTACATCATATAATCTATATATTATGTTAGCTGCCAATATTCCACTTAGTGTTCGGTGATTTCTCGAAACAGTAAGATAGCAATTCAATTTAGATATTTCTGCATTTGCAAATCCAGACGGTGTTAACTGTACTATTGTTACAAATTGTTAATTGTTACAAAGTACTGTAATTATAATAAACACATCATTGTAATCTATAGAAGTGAGTTACCATAAGTAAAATATTTCTCATTAAAAACATATAACAAATTACTAAAACATAACAGATACAGCTTTATATTCTTTAAAACATATTCTTCAGAGCTGATGAACATATTTAACGATTCTTTTCAATTTTTCCTTTTTCATTTTATGGTACGTGAGCTGAGATAAACGTAACAATTATCTATCGTCTGTTTGAATGTAAAATTTTTCAATAACATTTATATCACACGTTTAAAATTATTATAATTATTATAATATTTGCAAAATTTATTGAAAATATCGATTGTATTTTTTGAAAACTAGGGTACGTATAGTTGAAGTGAAATTTTATTTAATTATCTGTAGCAATGTAAGAACGTAATTTTCTGTAAAAATAAAATTTAGTTTCTCTTACTTATTGCCAAATAACACACGTTCGTTTCATATACGTTTTCTCAACGTACATGTATACATTGGACATGTTTAGGAAACGTATATGAAACGCACATGTCCTAACTGAGTTGCATTTTGAGTAATATATAAATTTTATACATATTTAATATTTTTAGTTTTATATTTAACAAAAAATTTTGAACAAATTATGCTGCTCGCTCACATAAGATTCTAGATAACCTCTCGTATTTAAAATTTTTTTTTTTTTATTGTCACAAATAATTCCTTCTTTTTTTTAACTGTTTTTCATGAAAATCTTACACCGCTTTAGTACGATTACCTATAATAGTTGTTATACAGAGTGATTTAAAATAACCTGATGTTCGTGCAATGCCATATTCTTGAGCGAATTCTGAGACGATTTTTCCTATTACAAAATTTTGTCCAAAGCTTAATTTTCGAATTATAATTGAAAATAGGTAGCGACTTACGAGTTTGGTACAACGGGCAGGCAGGGATGCGCAACGTATAATGAGACTGTCAAGTGTTTACTATCGTCTCATGACGCATTGCACTATCCCTGCCTGTCCGTTGTATCGGACTCGTAAGTAACAAATTATTTTCAATTATAACTCAAAAACTAAGCTTCGAACAAAATTTTGTAAAAAGAAAAATCGTCTCAGAATTCACTCAAGAATATGGCATTGCAAGGACATCAAGTTATTTTGAATCACCCTGTATAATATTTATTCTTCTTATATAAAAGTTAAATAGCATGTGTCGCTGTTATATATTACTTTTTGTACTATAGCCAGAGGTTCTTGAAACACAATATCAATTCTCTATAGTTAATATAAAGTTTGTTGTGAAAAGACAATACGCGCGCGGAAAAATTCTTGTCGATTACAGTCTTAACTGAACAGAAGAAGCGCATTTTCATTAGTCACGCAACAGTAGCGCACGCACTCTACAGACACTGGCGCCAAACATAAAACAATTATTCTCTACAGTCGCAAATGTATGTGTTTTCTAATCAAGAAATTCTTCTTGCAGATGCTTCAAGTGGGAATTAGTATGGCATTTTCACATATCTTATTAAACAGATTAATATTTATCATGATAATTATACTACCTACTGCAAAATTTACGAAAAATGACACTGAACTTAATTACAATGTTTTGAATGGCAATTTTAAACCACTGCATTATGGTGTCAAAATAGAATATGACGTATACAGAAATGTCTTTCTTGGAGAGTGCAATATCACCATCCAGATTAATCGCCCAACGGAAAATATAACTATAAACACAAACACTATCTCCATAGAGCAAATTGATCTGTTTGACGACGATTATAATGAGATGTTCAGCATCCAAATGTTTTCATTTATCAATGAATTTAAAAAAAAGTATATTCATCTTGATTTTATCCAGTTATCAGGGGATGTTTTATATCCTGATACGTATATCTTAAAATTCATATATAGCGGTATGATATTCGATGACGAAAAGGACGCAGACAATGAAAAGAACAAAATGTAAGTTCAAATAATAAATTATTAGTAAAATTATGATTAAACTTTTATATTACTCATAAACTTAAAATAAAATAGGTTAAACAAGAAAAGCATTAAAGTAATAAAAGCAGTTGAATTATTTCCATGTTGGAACGAGGCAATATTTAAAACAACCTTTAACATTTCTATCAAGCATCATAAAGACTATAAGTTTTTATCGAGTATGCCGATACGAATACAAGTTGAAAACTTGGATAACACTCTGTGGACTTACTTTGACAAATCACCTTTAATGTCCGCTAAACATTTAACAATTGTGAAATCCACATTCACTAATTTCTTCGCTTCTATTAAAAATGTCAAATTTTGGTATAGAAAAGAAATGATCGACCAGGTGCGATTCGCAGAAAACATTGTCCAAGATGTCATATACTATTTGCAACTAAAAAGTAGAGCAATAATACCAAAAATAGATTACTTTGTAATTGAGGACTTTCAACATAGTAACGAAAAGACGCGGGGATTCATTCTATTAAGGTACTCCTTAATAAAACAAAAATTGAAACCAAATTAAATAAATATATTTTTCTATAATATTATAAAAATAAAAAAAATGCATTTTAATGTTAGTGTGGTTATTAAAAAACAACTAAAACATCACGTCACTTACACCACGTTCTAATAAAATAATCTTATCTTTATTTTATGGTAAACAAAAAACTAAAATAATTATTTTTTATGTCAAATTAGATTTTAATTCAGATTTAATTATTGAAAGCATGAAAAATAACTGCTATTTATGTACAAGTTTTACGTACAAGTAATACATAAGCTTATTTTATTCACGAATAATATTGATAAAAAATTATCAAAATTTTTATTATTTTGAATGTTATACACATTTTTGCATGTAATATTACTGACGCAAAAGTGTTTAAAATATTTTTCCCCCTTTTATCTTCAATAAATTCTATACAAATGAGTAAATAAATAGTTTGTGCCATGTTATATCATTTACAATATGATATATATTGTTCACCAAAAATATATAAAAATCCAAGTTGTATAAATATAACATTCTTTTCTTGTCACATTCAGATTTAACTTTATTACTGGTTTATCTTTAAATATTTAAATAAATATAATTAAATGTTATTTGTGTCTTCGTAATAATTTATATCTATTACAACGACAATATAGAAATTTATTAAATTGCATTATTATATAAAAAATTTAAGGTATATTTCTAATACTAGAAAGACTTCAAAAACAATTTGCAGGGAAGAAGATATTATTTATAATTATACATTACATCCCGTTCGCAAAATGGAAGTGGCAAACTTAATAGCACGTAAAACGATTTCTTATTGGTATGATGATATGTTTCTGTGGTCCAAAGAAGGATTTATTACGTTTCTTGCAGCACTTATTTTGAATCAGGTTTTTTTATACTTTCACTATTAGAGTACATTACTTTATACTTTAATATAATCGACTAAACGTTAATAGCAGCTGTCAACAGCGCTAAATACGTGTTGCCAAAATTTAAAAAACTTCTCTCGAAATATATTTACTCGATCATGTCACGCTTTACAGACTCGGTTATATTCCATGATGGACTTATTTTACATCCAAGTACAACAGGAATCTTTACGTTTCGATGATCTTCCTACAGATTCTCTGCCATTTAAATCATCCCGTTATTATATCACATGTAAGTTTAAGCAAATATAACTAAAATATTATTTAGAATCAAAGACAATGTAATTTTGAAATATTGATAATTCTATGTAAATTTACAAAATTTGTAACAAAGTATAAGAAAACTTAACTGTAAATCGATTAAAATACAACTTATTTATATATAAAACATATTATAAGTATATTAAAAATAAAATTAAGACTATTTTAAAATACTAATTACTATTATGTCAATAGTAATTAATACTATATTAAAAGTAAAAAATACATTATACTATTCAACAAATATTTTACAATTTGAATCGTTACAGCATCTATTATATGGCGCATGTTATATCATATAATATCTGATATGAAGTTTTGGACTAGTCTCAACATGTATAAAAACATACAGTGAGTAATATCTTTTTATATCTTTAAATGGTGATAATAATAATGAAATAAAAAATTTGAACAGTAAAGCAAATGACATGCTTCAACATCTACTGTTCAAAACTAGGAACTAACCGTTTTAAACTTATCGGCTACTTTTAGTTACTCTTTATGTAAAGAATTTTAAACAACATATTGAGGAATTATTATTTATAGTAAATGATGTAATTTTATAAATAATAAGAAAAATTTTTGCAATGTTATTTTTCAGGCATAATCAGACAAACGCGACAGATACTGAGAATTTATCTACTATTGTATCATTTTGGAACGCTGTGGAAAGTATTCTAGGTACAACAAGTAATATACGTAACTTTAATATAGAAGATGTAATCGATATTTGGTCAATGCAAGGACATTATCCTGTACTGTACGTGACACGAAATTATTCTACTAACTCTTAGTATCAATCACATATATTAATTCTAAACATATACAATTTCCTAATATGAAACAATATGAATTATACGTGGTATATACGACGAAATCACTCATGAACATCGAGACACATTACTTTTGGCTATCTACACTAACACCGTACCATTATATATCGCACAAGATTGACATTAATGATTGGATCATTCTCAATTTACAACAAGGTAAATATTAAACAGTATTTTTATTATTCTGCTGACTTTATTTTCTATAATTGATTCTTCATTATTCCATGTTCAATCATTAGAAATATGTTATTTATTTAATATATTAATATATGTACAATACAATTCAAATACATACACTACTCGCAACAATTAAGTGATCAAGAAAAATTGCTAAAGAAACCAATCTTCAAATCATTGTAACTCCGCGAAAACCATTGTGTTTTAATTTAAGAAAAAGCGTTTGGAAGCTTGAAACTTTTTCTTTCTACTGATCGTTTTAATGGCAGTGAAGAGCACATACTTAATGTTCGGCAAGAGTTCATTTCTACCTTAAAAGAGGCAGGCTATGTATTTTTGAGAATTCTTTTTCGCGTTATTAAGAGGTCGATTGCGACGTTAGAATTAACGATTTTGTTTATTACTGATCAGTTGTCATCGAGATGATTGCGTTTAACATATTGTGACAACTTGTATCTTTGTTATTATACAAAAAGTAGTAGTATTTTAAAGAAAGTAAAAGTGCCAATTATTATACAACGGAAAAAAATGGCACGCGCTTGGGTGACTTAGTATAATAACTTAGTACAATAAATTGAGAGTAATATATATAAAAGAAAATAATGATATTTACAAGCATTTCTTAATAAATTTGATGAAGATGCTCTAATAACAAAAATATTTTTGTGCTATAGGGTACTATCGCGTTAATTATGATTTGGAAAACTGGAAAAGACTTGCCTGGTATTTGTACAATGAAAATTATAACACGATTCCTGTTCTGAATCGAGCCCTAATCATCGATGATGCGTTTTACTTTTTGACGCAAAAGCAACTCAGTATCAACTTGTTTTGGGATATTACAAGCTTTCTATTAAAAGATACGGACTATGTAGCATGGTATCCTATGATTAAAGCTGTTGAATACATGACATGTGTCTGGGAAATTCAACATAATGCCCTTATAAAGGTAAATTAAAATAAGAGTATTTTTCTACAAAAAAAGAATAATGTGTAGTATTAAAACACTGTATAAAAGGCGTTAAATAAATATATGTGTAAATATACTTATATCTTTTTCACAAATAATAATAAATTTTTTATTATTTAACAATTTTTTAGGAGGTAATTAAAGAAATGTTCAATAAACTTCTGCAAAATATAGGATACGATGACAAATTTGACGAAAATGATTTTACTAAATGTTTAAGAGAAGAAGCGGTAAAGTGGGCATGTGTTCTCGGTGAGCCAGAATGCAGAAAAATAGCCACTTCGAAATTAAAAGAAGATCTT